TTTTTTACTCTTCTGCTCCGTCTAGGACTGTTTTGAATCTGAATAACTCATTTTAATGCTTCCAGTGGATGCTTGAAATAATTTCTTTTCTACAGGTGCTTTCATAATTAATTTACTGCTTACCTGAAAACAGTGATGAATAAAAAAACTTCAACCTCATTTTTATAAATAGAGAATCAACCAATAAAATCAGCATATAATAAGGAAACTGATAACTAAATTTAACTGAACGTTTATATTCCAACAAGCTAAATGGTCTGATAATACCCCATTATACTTGCACTAACACTTACACTACATTTATATCTACCTAATTTAAGATTTCTTAACAGCGCATCGTAAAAGAGTTATTTTAAGAGGAACGCCTCAATCAAAATCAAAAGCGTAATCTTATGTACATATAAGCATGTTGCCACTTATAGTTTTTTAAGTTCATTGGAACGAGTAAAGTCACTGCAGGTGTCTTTTATTGCTACGAATGCTGTTAAACCTTGTAATTGTAATGAAGATGGGCCATAAACAAGAGCGTTTTCATTTCATTTAAACGCTTGTGTTGGGACCAACGAGTACCTTTTTATTGTTTATCATGGCAGTACCGAGTACCGACAACGTCATTATAATCCGGATACACGAGCGAATTTATTAGGTCAATAAATTATGCTTTATTTGAATCGACTAGTAAATGTAATTCCAAACTTGATTTAAAAAAAAATTGAAAGTGGTTGACTGCCCACAATCAGTTAATATTGCAAATTAGAGAACAATATTAAAAGCACAACAAGCAAGTTTAGATGGGGTTGTAAAATTTCTAATTTTCTATTTCTCAACTATCTTAAGCTTCTTTACACGCAATGATATAACGTTTTTAATACCATCAATCAACATCAATCCACTATTTGAATAAAAAAATCTCAGAATCCCATGTCAAATTGAATCCTTTTGTAATTTGTTGATACCAAGATGTTGTCAATGTGCGGAAAAAATCCAGGAGATGTGCGCCAGATAGCGTATCGTATCGACAACAAAAATGCATTGTAATATTACCATAATGCAAAATCAGTGCATCAGATAGTTGTTCGGGTGTTCACTTGCATCTTTGATCTATTTACAAACATGCCAACCTGTCAACAGATTATTTGCATTATAAACGACCGTGCTTTCGCGAGAAATTGAATAGTTTAATGCTATGAATGAACAATTGCCTTGTATTTCTATTTACTATTCGTTCAATGGTTGTTTGTGTTTGAGCTTGCGAGGAATAAAATATTAAATGCAAATCACACAACAAACTTGGACACGAGTAAAGGATTTTTTTAACAATTCCGAATAATTTTAGTTGATACCTTGTATAGTGCGAATACGACACTTCTTCTTCGTGTAGTACTTACCTACTTGAATATCTTCGACATCTTATTATGCTTCACAGTAGATTGGACATGGTTGAATTAATTAATAACAATCTTTATAAGGTGTTTTATTAATTCACTTATTCGTGTTCCCAAGAGCACCGAGTTTCCTTTTAACGCAAATAAATCAACAATAAGCTCATTATGTTTTCTACGGGTAAATTTTCTAGTCATTTTAAAGTCATAAATCACAGTATGTGCATTCTTATTTAAAAAACGAATTTTATTGCTTAATCTCTCCATTCATTCTGTTACTAAGTCATGATCAGTACAGCACCTAAATAGGAAGTGTCAGCTGATAAATAAACCCTTTTGTAAGGGTATCAGGTAGAGGCTAACCGACTCAAAATGACGAACAGACCACCTGAATAAGATAAAAATAAAAATACTGTGGTGATTCGAATATTTTATTTATATACATACATAATAGATTCGTCATTATAAAGCAGATAAATTCGGACATAGAAAAAAGAAAATTTTTGGCATTTGAATAACGATTAACAGCTCTATTCGATAACCTAAACTTACAGCCAAAATTAGTTTAGATAACGGGCTGGTAGACTCATTTACCTGCAACATTTCGCTATCTTTGTAATGGGAGAGCAGCACGTCGAGAAATGCAAAATATTTGTACCTGAATTGAGTTACACCTGAATTGTTAGTGGACGTCGTTTGCCCCATTATTTCCAGAAAAATTGGATTTTCACTGAATTCATTGAGAGAGTTTAGAAACTCATTTGTTAATACTTATTTACTTAATTGCCGGTCTTCCGGGTCTAAGTAGGGTTTGATTACCTGTAAATAGTAAAATCAGTATACTTCAACTATTAAATTGTGTCCAATTTTCTTTTATATTGAATTTATATGCCATTCTTACGCCGGAATAATTTTACTAAAGCAATTGTAGGTATTATTCAATACTATCAGACTGTAGAACTTCCTATATTTATAATGTCTCAAGCTCTATTTTAAATAGCTTTGAAATGGCTATCATAGAGGACATATCCTATACATTTCTCCTTCATTCGCTTGACTAGGCATATCAATGACTAGACATATCAGCTATCAATTTATTTACAATAATGGTGCAAATAATACTCTCTAGCTAACTCAGGTGAAAGGCGAGCGCGGTATCGAGTTGCGTGCCGGATACGGTATGAAATTCACCTTGCCACAGCTCCGGCGCTTCCTGAGCTCCTGATGCCGGCAACACGCAGTTAAAAGCGAACTCTAACAGGTGTTAATGATTTTTTTTTCGGTAATCAGCGGTAATTATATAATTTTCACGATTACGGAACCGTCTGCTATTTATACCGTTGAATCACCGGAGCATTGGAGGTTACTGTTACTGGGTCGAGAGCGAATTCGGTTGTATTCTACAGTTCATAGAAAGTGAAATTTTGTGAATGGGACTGGACTGGGTGACTTGGTTTTGTTTGTTACGTTGCGTGTGCGATTATTTATTAATGGAGTTTTAATGGAGCTTTGCGATAGCATTTCTTTCATTAATAATTATTGTTTCGTTTATTATTTAATAAATTGATGAAATTAAGAGTAAAATTTTAATTCTTGTTGGTACCTTCCTAAATAGAGAACTCATTAAATTCGATACAAAGGAGTTGTATAAGTAACGAGTAGATGGTACAAAAGATTGCGGAAAACGCTGCAATTTACACCAACATTTATTATTAACCTAATGAGATATGTCAAAACATAATATTTATAAACACGAAGACTGTGTTTATTCTCCAATAAGATCAAGAGAAGAAACTAAAAGCGTTTATCCAAACAAAATTGTAGTATGTAACGTTTATATTTAACCTACCAGTTCATTAAACTGGAAATCACCACGAATTCCAGCCCCATCTATAACGTAACGTTGCATCGGCACAAAATCCAATCTCTTCGGCACCACTTCCATGTCGGCGAACTACGTTAACATCGCTGTTACTGCTGTTATCCTGCTCGAAGGAACGAATTGTCCGGGTTACGTCACGAATCCACCCGAGCGCGATCAGCGATCCTTGGGGAAAGCCGGCTTCGTCCTTACTCAAGTTCATTTCGCCGAATTGTGCCTGGCCACCTCCAACCGACGTTGGCTCTCCTGTTCTACCATAGGCCGGAATAACCCGTATTTCGACACCGCACAAGGTTGTTCGAACTTTTAGCCGGGCCTTATGTATTCTTGTCTTGTCAAGAGATACAATAACTTAGATACAAAAAGCATACAAAACTTAGTTGCACGTTGCTTTAGGATATGTACGCTATTGGAGCTTCTGAAAGAGGAATATGTAGATTTGAAACTACTTAGATTAGATGTTATAAGAAACTTATTGCAGTAATGCACCACAGAGTTGAAGACTTTTGAAGCCGCTATTTATAAACAACTTGCTTGACATGTAAAAATTCGCTGTTTTTAGATAGGTTACCACAATTTTTGTTGCTAGAATTTATTCTGGCCAATATTAGCTAATATAGGTTTAGTAATTCGAGCAGATATTAGTAAAGGTATTTGTAAAATTTATAATAAAAAAACTATGGTGCAAATTCAAATTAAAGTTAAAAGAATTCAAGTTAAAAGAATTGTTAAAGGATCAGGAACATATTCGCTACCTTTATATTTGTTACCACGTAAACATTAACTAAAGTAGGTTATATTTAGTTACGCAAATGCACCAATTCTGCATTTAAAATGCAAACGCAATACTCGCGCAGTCTCTCCAAAGATCAATATCCCCATTTAGGCGAAATTGGGGAAAGCATCTCCTGTAGCGTCCTGCTATCCTGATTTTTTGTGACCGCAGAAGCTTACCTACTGCTATCCAAAGGGAATTGGGGACACGACTTTCCTTCAACCCCTTTTCCAGGTAAACGTCCGGAAAACCCCAAGCGACCTGGCTGCACGTTCGCGTAATATTTTCCTTTAATCGATATATCCAACCGATCCTTTCTTACCTATTAATCGGACGTTTATTCAAAACAATAATTTGTTGGGGCTGTTTGTAATTAAAAATCGAACCTTTAATTAAATCCGATTTAATCACTGACTGCGTTTCTTACCGAACAAAACGCTCGTTGATAAATGTCCGATCAACACGCCACTATAGGCTAATTGGATACCTTTTGTCGGATATAATTACTTATGAATGAGATCCGATCGATGATATTCTTATCTCCGAAGCGACGGGCATCTATGACAGGGGAAATTTAATAGGTAAACACCACTCTGTTGGGTTTTTTTCCTGCGATTACTCGTCAATCGAGATACTTCGCTGCTTTTTGTTATCGAAGAGACCAGATGGTCGAGCTGCCTAACCTAACTGTAATGTTAAAAATAATATTGCACATACAGGTGATCTAACTGGAGAAGTGTGTAGTGAATAGGCGTTAAAATTTTATAATTGGTTATAGAATTATTGCATTTTAGATAGATTTAATTGCCCTGATATCGATATTGTTTGGGCGTGGAAAAATTGATTTATATACGTTCCTTTTACAAGTTTGAGTAGATATAATATGAAAAAAATAATGAATTTCGAATAAGTATGTATCTTCTTTTATGAGACTCTTATGTGTGTTTTTGTTCTGTTTCAGATCGCCGCTAGTTGTTACTATAATATTTATTACCTTCTTTCACAATGTATTTAGTAAGCATGTAAGTACATTTCAATACATTATTTACACTCAACTTTTCCTGTTCCTTTGCTCATTATCCTCGACCTTTTCTTTGCTCATAATACAGAAATTATTATTTTATGTTGAAGTCTTGAACAAAACTCTTCGATGCTTTAAATGTGTTAATTATACCATGCATTCATTTTTTCGGTATGCTATTAAACTAAAAAGAAACACTTTATTAAGCCGCCAAGAAGCTAACCCGTACGGGTTTTAATTACACGATAATTCGAGTAAGTGAATATCTCAAAGGATAAATCATCGAGAATTTATAGCGCGACGCAGGAGTTGCAGAAGTAACCGTGCAATTATCGTAATCGGAAATTTTAGACTCTTGCAATTTACTTCGACCCCACCTGGAGCTCTCTTGAGGAGCGTTGGTAGTGGAATCATGTCTGAAGTTTCATAATATCGACCTCTGAGTTACTTTATACCACTTCCTTGATCACCGGCATGATTGACAAGGAGATGAGCTTTAGCTTTGTCTTATGTTAAAAATTTTTATTGGCTTCTATTGAGGAATTCTGTTAAAAATTGAAAATTGCTGGAACTTTCACGAGGACGTCTTAATACTTTTTGCAATTAACAGTTTTATGTTTACCATAGTGGTAAAATTGAAAAAAATAATGACCAAATAGTGCTAGTTTATTGTTTACTATTATACATCAGAACGAATCGTTAATTATTCGTTACTAGTACTATAATTAGACAGAAATGATTTTTTATTAATATTAATTTTTACACATAATTCCCAATTCAACACAGCTCATATTACTCTCTTACCTACTTTTTATTTCATATAGTCTGTATCATATTTATTACGTGTAACTAGGTTATAATAATGTCTGTAATTATTGGATTTGCTTTTCAGAGGATAAGGCACTTCAGTGACAGATTCAAACGACAGCAAGGGGCGAATCTCTACCTTCCGGGCAGTTATGTCCAAGACAACAACGACCAGGAGAGCGGCCCGTGGGAAGACTGGTCGTCGCCGAGTCCTTGCTCCAGGACCTGCGGCGGCGGCGTCTCCACGCAGAGGAGAAAATGCACCGACGGTTACGAGTGCTCCGGTCCGTCTGCGAAACACGTTTCTTGCAACACGCAGGTAAGATCGATTCATTTTATTCGGTTGTGTTAATAATATTTCGGGACGTCGAGTCGCCTCGTACGTTTGTGCACTTACACGGATTTAAAGCTCGTAAATCTGTAGGGAATATGTTTTGTCGAAGACGACAATGGGAAATTCATTGCGCGTTTAACTGTTGCATTGTAATGCGTTTAGTTACGGTCGGGTAGGGTTTTTATTAACGCTCCATTATCACGTGGTTTATTAGTTACGATTATGAAAGAAGAGTTCTTTGTGCTATACCGATATGAATAAAATCTACCTACTTGTAAATGCACGGTACTTATATACGAATTAAAGAAAAAAAAATGAAAATTATTGTCGGTATATGTAACTAAATTTTCATTTTATTCTTATTAGAGAATTCACTAAGAATTTACTCCCTAATTTGCAATATTACAGAAAATAAATAATAATATTATTCTATGCAAAATTTCTCCCTCTTTAACCCTCTTTAACCCTCGAATAGTTAAAAAAATACATTTGGGGGTTGTTTAAATAACAATGACTAATAAATAATGACTAATAAAATGACTAAAAAAAGGCAAATGCAGTATTTATTGCTATTGATTTTTAGAATATTTAGTAAACAACGTTTACGGTCGGTCTCACAGACCGGGCGCGACTATTGGAGGGTTAAATGTTTCCAGAAATATACTTATATATATTTATATTGATATTTATTGTATTCTAAAACATTAGACATAAAAATTTTACATTGCAAAGTACTAAAATTTTGTAAACAAGTGCTTTTCTAAGATCACTAAAATGGCTATTCACGCAAACGAAATCATTACAATCATTGCATTGACTGATAATATGTTATGTAAGTATGTAACATTTTAAAGAGCTGAAAACGAAAAGTAAATTTTTTACAAAAAAGTATAGGTAATACTTCAAAAGAATAGAGCACCTACCTTAAGAAACAATATTCTGTTTTGAATAGCAAATCCGTAACATTTAATTTCGAATGGGTCTTTCATTTGAATTAATAAAATTATTAATGATTTTCGGTTCGCCATGTTCCATCGGTACCAATTCAAATTTTGTAAGTTAGCGTATACTTCTTCGCACTAAAAATATTTTATTAAACGATTTTACTATCATTAAATTGATTTATTTTCACATTAATTTGAATCTGTTGTCCACTTTCCGTCGAAATCAAAATCAAAATTAAACCATTTAAGATGATCCCCAAATATGCAATTAATATAATAGATGTCGATGCCTAGGAGATTAAATGCCTGTATAAATAAAAATATCTAGTAGGTATATTTATATTTTTTACCATTGCACTGCATACAGCAGCCGCTATTGACATCCCTCCTGAGAAGAAAAGCATAAGAAAACGCCATTTCGATCTCTCGTTATACGTATTTACTAATCTAAAAAGTGAAATCAATTTAAAACATAATATTTTATAGCAAAAACAATACATTACTGTGTAATTTATTTATTATACCCACTTAAATTTTTCTCGACCTGTAACATTTTTAGTGCATTCTGAATGGAAAATATCTTACTTCTGAATGTTATGGTGTTGTTTAGAAATGAAAGAGATTTCTTGCGCAATTCTCTTTTGACCCTCTGCTGTGTACAAATCCTCTTCGATTGTCCATTTATTTTCCGTTTTCCTTAAATCTTTAATGCAAGCGTTCAACATTTTCAGTCTGTATATGACATGCCAACTAACGTAACAGGTGATAAAAATAGGAACACACACGAAAAACAATGTATAAGGAATCAAGTATCCGAATATGTAAAGAAAAATATATTTGTTGTAAGGAAACAATACGATTATTACGAAACTGATGTTAAACTTGATGAAATTGATCAAATACGAAATGTAAGAAATCAGTAACATCATTAAATAGATGTATGTAACATTTTTAGCTAATTTTCCCGTATAAATCATCTCTTTATGTATCAGATTCCTAATCGGTCTCGTCCAGTTTTCCTTTAGTGCCTTAACACTTTGAAAAATACTGTTCATAGATTGAAAACTTCTTATAGTGCTCCCATAAACTACTAACATCTGAAACAGTGAGCTCATTTTATATGCGAAAAGCTTGAGAAAAATAATGAACTCGTACGTGAAATGATATTGAGATTGTGACAATGCAGTCCGCTATTGATTCGGCTTTGATGTTTGAATAATAAATAAACGCTATTATAGCAGCAATGGCAATAAGCAAAATCCAAAATATGGATCCTGATAAGATTCTTTGCAAATCTTCTCGGAAAAGCATCGTTGCCCAATCTGCTAACCAATAAAACGCATCGTCTATAAAAAATTAGTAGTCGGGGAAAGGTATTTGTAATAAATAATGCCTGAAATTTGGAATTAAATTAGTATATGTACCTTCAAAAGTGTGAAATTCGCCGAAAAGTGCGTTGTTCAGTTTCCTTCGAAAACTCATTGTTATGAAATGAAATGAAAGTGACTATGTTCTACCGATTATAATCCAGGTACTCGTGCCTATCTAACATTAAATAGTTTGTTTATATAAAAATAATAGTAATCAAATTAAACATAACTCTTTCTTTTATTGTAATTTCTACTGATTGCCAAAGTTTTATCTGTTACTTACCCTTACTTTGAGGGGATACTTTTAGTTAATTATGTTCTAAACTTGTTTAACGAGTGATATAATATTTAAGAAAATATAAGCATCTTTAAGAGTATAAGTAAGTTGGTTTATTTATACTAAAGGTTTAAACTTACGAAAATATTGTTTTTTAATATTATAAATATAGACGTAGGGTAGGGCGGGGCTAATTGAGCATACGGGTAAGTTGTGCAATCGAAATATCTCGCAAACTATTCACCGTACGCATAAACATCTTATGGCGGAAAGAAGGGGTCGGGGGAGACCTAATCACAGAGCTATTGCAAGCGGCGCCTCGACAAGCGAGTAAAGCCCCCGTGCGTTTTGTTTTTTTTTGTGACCAAAAAGTAATAATATTTTCTTTTAAGCTATTTAATTCTGATTTTAAATAGAAAGCGCGAAAATTACTTTAAGTTTTGTTGTTCTGTCACTAAATCACAATAAATAGATGATTATAAAAATAAACATATCCTATAGGTATATAAACACACCGTTGCTCAACTTACCTCACCTATGGGGTACATTGAGCATACTTGACTTTCTGCATTTAAACAGCTGTAGCTCTTAAATTCAACTAGTTACAAAAAAGTTACTATGGGCACTTCTGTTAAGGGATAAATTACTAATCCATCAAGCCACATAACAAGTCATTCACACATATCATTGATGAGCTATATCCGCTAAAGTGAAAAGTTGCTCAACTAGCCCCGCCCTACCCTACACGTAATAAAATAGTAGCATATAAGTACACATAAGTTCACATAGTTATTTATGATTTATCCGTTTAATACATAGGTGTCTAAATCATACTAAGAAAAATATTAAAGTGAAAATTTAAAATTGCTGTATGTAGGTACTCGTATACCAACTTCATTGGATCGATTGATAATACATCATGTAAGTATGCATAATTCTGTAAAACTGAAAAAAAAAATGTTATTAGATCCAATTTTGAATCAAATTTACTGTTCAAAATAAGATATAGTTTATTATACATACTTACACTAAGAAACAAATTTCTGTTCTGAATCACAAAACCATAACATTTAATTTCGAAGGGATTTTTCGTTTGTAGTAATAACATTAATAACGATTGACAGTTTTCTTTATTCCATTGATACCATCTTAAATGTTGCAAAGCAATATGCAGCTTTTCGCACTTAAATGATTTAAAGTAGAAATATTTTTTCATATCGTATTTGCAAAACATTTGTAAAATATTTTTTACAAAAATCACTTTTACCTGATTTTGTATTTGTTGGCCACACTCCGTTGTGACGAACAGCATAAATAGTCCACAAACGGCGACACTCAAATGTATGAGGGATTGAATGGATCTCACTGCCTGATAAATTAAATACTATGTACACCTACTATAGCAGGTATTAACTAAATGAGAAACATTTACCAACGCAAAGGAGACAACTGTAGCAGTAGCTACTGCTCCAGAAGTAGTTAACATCAATAAGCGCCACTTCGTACATTCATTGTAATAATTTAATAAACTAAAAAAAAATATGCAATTAACACATAACACCTAGGTGCATAATAGTTTGCAATTTGAACATTTATTCGAGTTGAAGAAAGAAAGATTATTAAAATAACAGATTGAGTGAGAAAGTTGCAATTTTATTAATGATTAAACCATTTTCACCCTTACTTTTTCTTTTTTAAGTACCTAATGGAAATGGTCTTTGTTGCACCCATGCATAGCCTATATTGCAAACTAAATAAATCAAATTGTATGTAGTAATTAGATTGGCGTTTCATAATTTATTCGTAATTAATAAATAATAATTCCTACACTTTGTGTAAATTAATAAATGTAAAATAATATACACAAACATAACTATATCAATTATTTTTGTCATTTTTTACCTTTGTAAGTTATTGAGCTGTCTGGAAATGTAAGATATTTCTGCTGCAATTATCTTCTGATACTCTCTTGAATCCAAACTCTCGGAAATATCAGATTTACTCTCCATTTTCATCAAATCGTTTACGTAAGCATTTAATACTTTTAATCTGAAAATAACGTGAAAACTAACGTAGCCCGTCAAGAAAATCGGTACGTAAACATAGAAAGTTATCGCCGGCGGTATTACAAATCCAAGGAAGAATATCGTAAAGTATTTGCTATATGGAAATAGGTTCATAATAATAAAACCGATGTCGCCGGAATCTCTCTCTGATGTTGCATAAAAAGTATAAAAAACCGTTGTTAATAATGAACAGGCGAAAGCGATTTTTTTGGTTAACTTTCCGAATGAAATCATTTCGTCCACTATTACTTTCTTCATTGGTCTCTTCCAGTTTTTTGATAATCTTTTAACAAGCACAGTAAAATTTCTTATCATCTGAAAGTTTCTA